CCTCCATAAACTTCTTAAACCACTCGAAAACTTGCGTGCGAGATAGACACTGATCACCATATACTTCTGTCAACAAATTGTAAGTTTCAGTGGCAGATTTTCCAAGTTTTGTGAGGAATTTGATGTTAGCACGTTGTTCTGCATTAGCACTCAGCATTATTCCGACGGAGCTCAGAAACACGATCCGCTTCTAACAATGGTCGCGGCCAGACTAACCGATGCACGTGAATGAAACTTTGTGTGACGGTAGAGGGAAGTCCAAGGGTCAATGCCCTACCCTCCTCTTCGTCAATGACATGGCCGGAAATGAGTCATAAAAGTAATCCGGGTTCTTTATTGCCACACCTTGTATGTCTGCAGTAGTTCAAGGACATTTGAATTGTGAACCCAGAAATCCTTTCTAATTCTGTATCCGAAGAATGACCTCTTAATATATTCACTGCCATTCATATCGCATTACAGATTGAAGTTTATTGGAAGCCAATACCAGTCCTGTCAAATGAGGGACTGTTATCCCTGTGCATGTAAATGTCACCTTCTCCTACAGATATCGCTCAAATATAGAGAAGCCTTTAAGTGTAGCTTGGCATAGGCTGAAGGCATCAAAACCGTGTCATAAGTATAGATTGTTTTTTCCTTCTTTTCCAGCTCCATTTTGAATATAAGTTCAGATTCAAATTTTGTGGAAATATGACTGACTCAGCATGTATGAAAACCCCAGTATGGTGGCATGGCAATGTATGTGTTAATTGTTATAAATACTGTCAGGCCTTACCATTTGTACTTTTGTTTACAAGATCATATTTTAGAGATAATACTGTCACATGTTTGTTATGTAACGTGACAAATAACTTCACGCCATTCTGGATCTAGTGAATTTATTGCACACTCACTCTCACAATTACACCACTGCTGCCATTACAATTACTTCTCCTGCTGGAGTCACTGCCATTCACTCGATACAACTCGATAATAATGGACTTCAACTCACTCCAGCAAATGCTAGACTGCAACTGACTGGTTACTCCCTCTCAAAGTCAAAGTCAAAGTCACATTGCGACTGACGGTCAGTCAGTCAGTCAGTAAGTCTTGGTGTTGAGCCACATTTGAGGCTCATGACCAGATATTAATTATTATCGTTTGACAGTTACGGTCTTGTTTCTGTGGGGTGCCTTCTCTGATGAGAAGATGGGTCTGTCTTTTGTATATGCTGCTGGCCCTTGCCAGTGCAGTCTTACTCAGGTCCGAGTCCCTTGGGACTTGCAACCATATTTTACTGATTCAGAATTGAGACTTCCCTTTTCGTCGCCTCCTACAACCCGCAGGGTCACGGTGGGGGTATTTGACCTCGCTTCCACACGGGGTTCTACTCCCTGTCACTGACGAATACTCCTGTTATGTAGCTTCTGCACTGACAACACAGAAAACAGTTATGTGATAGCTTTCACTGTTGCATGACATCATGTTTACCGATTGCCTAGCATCAGTCGCTGCACGGACNGCACTGACAACACAGAAAACGGTTATGTGATAGCTTTCACTGTTGCATGACATCGTGTTTACAAAGGCGTTGCTGGGCAATGCTGCGTAGCAACCAGTGCGCTTCAGTTCAGCTCGGCATGGACAAACACCACTTTCCTTAATGTTGCGTAACCTTGGCAACTGACCATTTATCAAGGGTCTGTCTTAGTGGTAACTTGTTCCACCTCCTGTTGCCCAGCAACGGTTAGACATGTCACAATACTATAATTATCTTTTTCAGCCATTTCAGGTGAATGCCAGATAGTTTCTAAAAATGGACAACAGCCACTTTCATCATCATCCATTCTACTTCACTTCTTGATAAGATCACTTTTCATTTGGTTCTGAAAATCCTGTGTTGTTATACAGTATTTTGAATAAACTTTGAACTTTTGACTGTGGTTTACCTCTTAATGACTAATGTACCATGTATGTACTGAAATATCCGTAGTCGTCTGTCACTGCCACTTGAAATGTGTGAAAGCCCTGACCAGGCAGCATGTTATCACATCTTCAGACTTTGAATTTTGGGCTTCATCTCTGATCTGGCACTTCATGGGCTGCAGAGTAAAAAGTTTGTGTATGCCCGTGCTAAGAGGTATGCTTACAGGATTTGATGGGAAAGCCAGAAGGAAAGAGACCACTGGAAAAACCTAGTTATAGGAGGGAGGATATTATTAAAATAGATCTTATAGAGATAAGATGGGATTGTATGGACTTGATTGATTTGGTTCAGGATAGGGACCAGTGGAGGGCTCTTGTGAATGCGGTAATGAACCCTCAGCTTTCATAAAATGTTGGGAAATTCTTGAGTGGCTTAGCAACTTGTAGCTTCTCATAAAGGGCTCAGCTCCATGGAGTTAGTTATTTTGTTCATGCTGATAGGCCCATTTATGAGGCAAAATTTTATCTTACCTTCACAAGGGGTGAGCCTGGCTGCCAAGAAAAATGGCACCTAACTATTGGTTAACACATATGTGTGAATTGTGCAGGATTTGTGATAGAAACTCTTCATTCTGGTAACTGCTGAACTATGTTTTGTAATTTTAGAGAGACTGCTCACAGTAGGCGCTAACTTAGACACATGTTTAAATCATTATGAATACTGATATGAGGTTGTGTTTGCAGATGTTGGAGGGAACTATTGTAAATGTGCCAGAGAGAAACTCACCTCGTAAACTACGCGGAGAAACTGTTCAAGTGGACACGACAAATATATTATTTGTGGCTTCAGGAGCATACAACGGCCTGGACAGGCTTATTAGCCGGAGAAAAAATGAGAAAGTAAGCATTTAATTATTTAATATGCTCGCAGTTCAGAAAATCTTTGTCTTCTTCTTCTTCAATTCCTGTTGCTCCCACGTGGAGCATAGGACATCCATGAAACACTCGTTTCACTTTAGTCTCTTAATCTTAGACAGTCGGTAGGACCCATTGGATGGGGTATCAGCCCATCACAAGGCCGCTACCTAACACAAACACAGAATAAATGCAGACATCCATGTCTTGATTTGGATTCAAACCAATGATCCCAGTGTTCAAGTGAAGACTGTGATCGATGTTAGTAGACTATTGAGATACATAAGAATTATCAGATAGAATTTATGCATCTAACATGACTAATACAGATGACCTCCTGTCTTTGAAGTGATGTCATTATTTGTACAGTTTAATAGTCCATTCTCTTTGAAGTTTACATAGTGTAATCTTCATTTCATGCGTCCTGTTGTGTTACAATATATAACTTTATTTTTCCATCACAACAACTAAGGAGTATGAAGGTCAATACTCAGCTATGCCTCACTAAATGTTTCGGCCGAAACTTGTAGTGAGGCATAGCTGGGTATTGACCTTGATACTCCTTAGTTGTTGTGTTATGACGGAAAAATAAAGTTATATATTATTTACATAGTTTTAAGTTATAAATTTAAAATGCCCATGTATGGCACCTTGCCACTTACCACATATTGTAGTTTATTCACAAGCTAGCAGCTCATTTATTTTGAATTAAGTTTTTAATATAATTTGATTGCAGTACCTTGGTTTCGGTGTACCTGCTAGTGAATCCCCTGGTCGGCGTGCTGCATCACTAGCAGATCAGGCTCACCAGAGTGCTGCCACGTCAGCTGAAGAGGATAATGCGGAGAAGGATGCGTATCTAAAACAAGTAGAAGCTCGGGATCTGATAGAATTTGGCATGATTCCGGTAAGTTATCTTTCATTGAGAGGCAGCCCTTGACCCTTTGTCAGTCATTTAACACTAGATGCTAGTAGAGTGCAGCTGTCCCTGTTTAAGTTTTATCTTGCCCCAGTATGCAAAAGTGTCCTATTAGAAGATGCTCTATGACACAGAATTTTAATTGTACTCTGTGGATTATTGCAGGAATTTGTGGGCAGATTTCCAGTTCTAGTTCCATTCCATTCCTTAAACACAGAACTGTTAGTTCGGATACTTACTGAACCTCGTAACGCAATGGTACCACAATATCAGATGCTGTTTGGTATGGATAAGGTAAATATCTTAAGTTATTACTCTGGAAGAAAATAGATGGATAACTGGGAAACTAATGAAGTCTTGTTGGCACATCTGTTTATGTTACATTAAGTAGCTACTACTGCTCTTCTGGCAACAGCGTCATAATGTCTAGTAAGATGGTTTAAGCATGTGAGAATAATTGTTTTCATTTCAAGGCTAGAATTTTGGGGATAAGCATTTTCTCTGCTAGACCAGTTTTTTCGCTGTAATCACAATTTATAACACTGGTGTTTTTTTCACAGTGCACTGAAGTGTACTGCTTATCCCTTTCAATAGCAGACTCCTTTTAATTAAAACCAAACAAAGAAAAGAAAACAAACTCCATGATTTCAGTCCGCAAGCGAACCATACTGACTGAGTGACCACAGCTTGTTGGAGAAGTTTAGTGCCAACTTTTGCGGATAAAGGGTGTCACGTGGTCAGCGCAACAAATCTCCGTGGCCATTAATTTCGGTTTTAAAAATTTTCATAAATGATTCAATTGAAAAACAGTAAATTCAGGGGTCATGTTCTCAACATGGGCAATAAGAGGAGGAGAGGGAGGCAAATGCAGGTGACAAGTTGATTTGTACTAGCACTGTCAGCCATTGTTTCTCTGATGTTATCTATATTATACAGGAAATAACAACAATGTCAGAGCCCAGTTTGAAAGAACAGAAATAGCAGATTAGTCTTACAGTAGGTGGTGCCATAGGAAGTTAAGCCCATAAGACACTGCAGTCTATCCTTAATGATGGTTACACCCTAGAAGATAACACTTCGTGTTTTCTCTGTCCTCCGAGTTTATGCAGTGAGAAACTTCTCATTGTATTTTTTTTATTGCTAGTGGGGTGGGACTAAGTCCCTTGTACTGCGGCCACTTCTGGCCTATTGTACCAGCCCCAGATGATAGGTGAGGGTGATTGTGGAGCAATTGGTGGAATGAAGATTGGTAAGGGAAACCGAAGTACTCGGAGAAAACCTGCCCCAGCGTCACTTGACCAGACCCGGGATCGAACCCGGACCGCCACAGTGGGAAGCCAGCGACTAACCGCTTGAGCTATGGCGTGACCCAACTTCTCATTGTAAGTGTATGATGTGGATAAAACATCAGACGTGTCTGTTCATCAATATATGTTTTAAAAATAAAGCATATTTTCCATACAGAAAAACTTGTTTTTATTTAATGAACAGATTGGTAACAAATAGTTTTAAACATAAAATGGAACCTATTATGTATGTTCTGGCTGTGCCTGTTAACCTTTCTGTAATGATGTATTACAGAAGAGTTTTCAGAATTTTTTTCAGTTGACAACTGACAAACTGATATTGTGTGATCTCATTATCAGGTTGATCTAACATTTTCACCAGAATCATTATTGGCCATTGCGCGACTTGCTATGGAAAGGAAGACTGGTGCACGTGGTTTGCGAGCCATTATGGTAAGTTATTCAGGACAGTTACTGCTTCATTCAGTGTCTGCTTTTCTCTCTATTTCAGTTGAATTCTTTCTGCTGATATTAACCTATTTGCTGTCTGTCCTTGAAGATAAAATGGGCTGTCTGCTGGGCAGACAGAGAAAAGAGGTGTCAGATCTTATAAGAGTAGCTTTCCATTTCAGCATTGAAGGTTTATTGAGTTAACACATTTCAGGGCGGAAATTATTTAATCAAACTCTTTATCATATATGCTTCCCACAAGAACCATACTTTGCTACTATAATTATTAGCGGCCTCCGTAGTCTAGAGGTAACATTTCCACCTCATGACTCGTAGTACGCGGGTTCAAATACCTGGCGGAGGTCGTCGAATTTTTAAGGGCGGAAAAATTCAGGGAACAAGTCCTCCGGGAGGGACTTTAAGCCGTGGGTCCCGTGTCGTAGCTTTACGGCACGTAAAAGAACCTCATGCCTCCAAAAGAGGTCACTGAGCAAAATTGCGGACGTTTGCCGCCCAGCAGCAGTCTAATACCTCCGGTAGATGGGGGAAGCATTATAGATACTTCTCAGCCAGTAGAGCCGGTCTCTCTGGCTGGGCGGGACTGATGGTAAGCATCAGTACCGGTAGGATATAGAGACTGGTAGAAATCATAGAAGGAAGCACAATGGACCAATACAGGTCTAAGTGCATGGGGAAACCCACCCTCTCTAATAACTAACTAACGACTAGAATTATTGGAGTATAAGCCTGGGAAATATTGTTGTATCCTGAAGAGTTTTCTCTTCTTCTATCTCCATAACCATTGCTGTGAGAACGTCAAATCCTACACTGCCTGATCCTTTTTGTCGTTCATTGACATTTACAACTTAATGTCTCATCTTGTTCTTCTGTTTCTCTTCCCACAAGCACTTCTCTTGTATCTATACACACTCTTTCACTCTTATTTTTTTAATATTATCCTTCACTTTTAATTGTTACCTTTACCTTTTATGCTGTCAATGGAGTCCTGTTGGTATCCATGCTTAACACATCCCCATTCCATTGTTTCCTTAATATTACCAACTTATCAAGAATTGTTTCCAACTTTCACATCTTGCCATGAATTTTTTATTCTTCATATTCTTCTTCATGTCTTAATGATCTGTAGAAATAGTATAAAAGATTATCAGCTCCGTCCAGTGTGACCGATAAATGTTTTTTCTCATTTTAATCTATCAGCCTTGACATGTTTCAGTCTGAGAGACCATCTTCAGAAGGACAATCAGTACATCTGGAAACTACTATTACAGTGTGATTGGTCGGAGTTGATAATCTTTTATATTATTGCTGGTGTGACGGACCAGGATGAACCACTCAAATTTATCGAAGCTCTGTAGAAACTTCGTTTCTGTCTCTTTAATCTGCTTTCATATCTCTTATCCTATGTCTAGGTTTTTGCCCCATAATTGAAAATAGTCAAGTAAGTACATATAAAATTCACTATATAAAAGGAATTACCTGAATCCATATATATATATATATATATATATAGCCAAAAAGATTGAAGTGACTGTAACAATTTTGTGTTGCATTGTGATGGAAATATATATTTATGAAATAATAGGCATGCATAATTGTATTCTGTAGTGTCTTTGTTCAAAGTCAGGAGAAGAGAAAATTTGTGTAATAAAAAGGGGAAGGTACTACACAGTCCCTCTGTAAACAAACTAAGCGACACAGTACACTACGAAACAAGCTATTGGACTTATGAGGAAATTCAGAGGATGACATTTGATGCACATTTTTCAGTGGTTGAAACTTAATAGGAGTAAGTGACTATCAGATGCTGGAATGCAAACTTTCTCCTAGTCAGAAATGGCAGAGAGACAGTGGGATAAAAGGACCGCTACAGAATACTACCCATAAATAACTTCGGAAGCAAAGCTTCAAGTACAGTTGGTGCAAAAAGTTAAGGGATAACAGCGACAGCTAGTTATGAATTACTCATAATGATGAGGGTGCGAGAAAGAAAGCACTCATTTTATGCAGCGGTTTTCTATATGTGTAATGTTAAGACATTGATAGTTCCAGGGTTGTTTGTCACTGTAATGAAGTCCTTGCTATAAGCCATATTTGCTCTACCACTGTTTGATTTTATTAGCATTAAATTGTATGAATGTTTATTGTTTCCAGGAAACACTGTTACTTGAGCCAATGTTTGAAATCCCTGGTTCTGATGTGATGAGTGTCCACATCACAGAAGATGTTGTTAGTGGAGCGAGTGCACCTGTATATATACGAGGAAAGCCAGTGTCACAAGACGAAGAAGAACAGACAATTGAGGTGCAAGCACGTGCTAAAGCTAAGTAGGTCTCATTAAATAATTTTATAAAAAATTGATAGTTTTGTTTCAGGGGACAGCTTCAAGTTAAAATTGCTGTTCAATTTTGTCAGCATTACCTGGCAGAATTTTTAAATGCACAAGGAGACAATTGAGGGGGAAATAAATCATTGCCTCCTATTTTAAAATTATGTAATTTATTTGAGATTGTGTAATATTCAATTACAGTAGGAATATACTGGTTCATTTGTGGTTCACTAGACTGCGTGAACTGACAGTTCCTTTGTATGTTGTCAAAACAAACATAACCTTAATTTGGCCATTGCCAATTTGACTGAAAAGAGGAAATTGTTTCATGAAAGAGTAATTCAGTATTCTGAATTAATTTTAAATGAAGTCTAAACAAAGACAGGAAAGTTTGTCACAAACAGCAGTAGTTGTAGACTTAACAATCTTCCTGGCCTCTGATTGTATGGCAGAATGAATTAATCATTTCTGAAATAAGTGCATGAGGTAGATTTTGTGTCTACTGATGGTGGAATAACCGCTAGCTGAGGGGACATACCATTTACTATGACCTTTCAACCACAGTGTGAGACATTTATTCTTTACATTCCCAAAGTCTGAGCTTTGACTTTGGTGTGTGCACCGAAGAACTACACGCGGATCCAACTTGGAGCTGAGACTCAACTCCACACATTATTAATGAAAATCTGATATATTAACATCAATTGAGGCACTATGCTACAAGCCAGAAGGTCACAGGTTCAATTCCCTATAAGGTCATTGAATTTTTCATTTGACCTAATCCTTCCAGCTGCACTATGGCCCTGGAGTCAATTCAGCATCTAACAGAAATGAGTACCAGGAATCTTCCTTGGGTTGAAGGGCAGCCGGTAAATAAGGTTGGCAACCTCACCTCCATTTGTGAGCTGATTGTCTAGAGAAATTGTGGGAGCCTCGACATCTCACAACCCCGTGGACCTCCATGGCCTCTTACAGGGATAGATTTGCCTCTTTTACCTTTATATTCAGATCTATTGAAGTAGGAAAGATTCAGTTTACCTATGAACGATACTGGTATATTGCAGAATCGTAAGTTCTTATTGAAATCTGATTGGAACTGACACTGTTATAGGCCTTGAAATACCATTGTTTAATTCTTTGCCACATCATTTAAATTCCCTGTATTCTGGACCTCTCAGATTTGTTGCTGTAAATACTTTTCATGTATATTTTAATATATTCAGTACATAGCCATTTAATTAATTATGTTAGATGTGGCAAAGTGTTAATTAGTTGCTGTTTTGTTGAGTAGATGGGCCTTTCTACAAAATAAAATATTTTGGCTCATGCTGCATAAAAGTAAATTCACTCTCAGTATGGAAAATCATTTTGCTTGAGGAATACAATTTGGGAAGGGGGTAATCTAACAGATCTTTTTTTTTTTTTTTTGTAATAATTCCCATTATGGTGACATCAGAAATTCTGCATGTTAGCAAGGGCCTTGTCAGTATGTGTTTGCTCAATCAATTGTATTGTACAAGCTTTTAGTTTAGTGGGTTGCTAATTTACGCAGCAAGGTAACATTTTACTCATCAGACCATATTTCAGAAACTGTAGCAATGTACATTGTGAATTTTGTTTCAGGAAGTTTGTAACATCCTATTTTTAAACAAAGCGTTCGTTGTTGGAGTCCAGCATAAAGAATAGAGTTATGTGGTCTTATGGGCTGTTCCTTCCAAGAGTGACATCTATATAATGTCTGGTGTTCCTTGCCCCCCTCCCCCTCCTTTATTGGTACCACAGTTAATGCAGTTACCTTTTAGTTTAAATATATGGAATTTTCATTACACTGTATAGATCTGAATGCACATACAATCAGGTTTTTGTGGTATATGGATTCTTTACATATATGCCTACTTCCTCTGGGTCTTGTCTCCAATTTTGATTCATTTTTCTGTTCTTGCATCCAGTTTTGAGTAAATATTTTCCAGTATTTTTAATTCAGATATATTTCTATTTATTATTTTCTTATTTGCTAAATCTTCATTTATTTTTAACCATTTACTAAATACAGGTTCTTCTGTCTGCATGATTGCACTTCTTGTTATAAAAGCAATTCATAAATTATTAACCATTTGACTACTGTACCCTGCCATAGAAGTTTACTGTTAGAAATGCCAAGACTGCTTAGTAGTAAGTCCTGTTACACAGAATATACTTCTTGTGAAAGGCCATTCTTTCCCCTGATTATTGGTATGTCACGCTTGATGCCATCTATTGACAGAAATGCTATACTAATTGATAAACAACAAACCGATATCTTCCACTGTGGCGATTTTAATGCAAGTACGTTGTCCCATGCAGAGGATTAAATTTGCTGTCCTCCTGTTGGACCCTAAGAATCCTGCTTACTAAAAATAACAGCTTTCTCCCCTGTGGAATTCAGTGTGTGTAATTAGTCCAGTATGCTCCAGAAAATCGTAAACAGTGTTTTTGGGGGCGGATTTGAAGTTCCTACATCAGTGATCATGAAGAGTACAGTCTTCTGAGTTGTAATGCTGTGTAATTCAGAAAAGGTCTGACAGTTTGGAGGAAATTATCACTGCTCTCCATCTGACACAGGGTTTTTTGGGAACTACACAGCGTTACAACCCAGAAAACAGTACTTGTCCTTTCTTCGCCCTTCTCTGTTAGTATAGTGAAACAGATTTGCACACTGACCCTGCATTTAAATTGTGATGAGCACTGTAACCATATGTTACAGTATTATTGCAATAAGAGAAATAGTCCATTCTAAACATTGGAAAGAACACTGTGGTTGTGATATTTTCTTATTAATAGATATAACATGGTATACATGGTATGAATGCAAATATGGTGTGTTAAAAACTTGTCAGGGTATTTGTATGGATATCTCACCCCGTTGCAATGATTCTGATTTTTATACTTTTGATGTGAGAGACTTAAAAATTATTTTGTTTGTTTGATAAAAATTGCTTTATTAGTCAAAAGTGAAGCGGAAGCAAGGTGATACTACTGGAATGTTGGCCTGTTTTTGCCTTTTGTTAAAAAATTAACTACATCCTGTAATGATGGAGAACACGATGTGAGCATTACCATAATTTTGAGCACTGATGACAAAGTTAGTAGTGGTTTATGGGCAAATTACCACACAGATTGATATAGAGGTGATTCTCTAGGAGGTACTTGGTTCGACTGTTGTCTAGGATGCCATCTATCCTGACTGAAGATTTTTTTGAGTTCCTCCAGGCAGATGCTGGGACACTACCTTAATTAGGTCACAGCCTCTCCTCCTTCATTGGCACTACAACCCTGTGTGGGTCTTGCCCTCTTCCATGGGCTCTTGAGGTCTAGTAGCAATAGATTTTTCTGGGGTAATGTTAGCTCCATGCCCAGCCCCAAACCTGTAGGACCAGGACTGCACTTTATCTGGCCCCTACTCTTTGACCTGTGTGGCTCCACCAGAAGCTTATCCTCCCGAAGCATAGCCAGAGCCATTTCCTTCTGAATTCTTTATATGATATGTAAGTACCAATATTTCTAGTTGCACCATTCCTTGAAGGTGTATAGGTGTTATACATAGCTTTATGTAAGATGGAGGTCAGCAATAAACCTCGTGTTCCAACTGACCCACATTTTGCCAGTAATTGTGAAGAAGCCTTTACAATCCAAGTAACTTAACGAAGTAAGTTTTGTCTCTGATGGTGTGAGAGGTAATGCAAATGCAGCGATTTGTTTAGATCGATAAGTTTGGTTTGTGTATAACAGCATCTGTTTATCATGTTATTTTTTTAATGTAAACCATAGGTTCTCAGCTATAGATAGTGGCTGGTTCTAATATGGTAGCCAAATATAATTTTTTCATTATGGTAATTACAAAGTTTATATGTCATGAGATTAATGTTTTCCCCCCTAATAAATTAAGTGCACGTGTAAAATGTTAACTGCGTATGGTCTATAAAGCCACTTCAGTTTCACAATTTCCTCACTGTGGTCACGAAAAGAAAATTTACCAGTGTCGGTTATGCAAAATGTTTATCTTCACTGTCAGAATGTCCACTTCTCTTTTACTTTCTATCTGTTTTGATGATAATGAGAAATTCCCTGTCTGAATTCCACAGCTTTTATGGTATAAGATTGTTACCTTATTTTGCATGTCTGAGAGGAAGAAATGCCCATAATTATTTTTTTCGTTATTTTGCCTGTCTGAGGAGAAGAAACACATATAATTATTTGAATATGGTGGAACCTCCATCTAATAGTCCTCATTTTAAGTTTTTCCCTCCTTTAATATACAGTTTTTTTGATCCCATGTCAATAATGTCATTGTTAAATTACCTTTAAGATTTTCATCTCTGTTCAAAGCCACTGCTCCCCTGAAGAAAATTTAAGTGGTGATTTCACTGTAAAATGGACATGGATATTTCGTAACAGTAGGTTGGCACTCATTGTATGTTATACTGCAGATTATAGTTTTCCTTTTATTGTTGGGTCTGATGAGATATGCTTACCAGCGTTTGTCAGAAATTAACTTTACGTTGTAATACTATTGCTAGAGCATGGGACATAATGTTTTTCAGGCTCATATGTTGAAAGCCACGTTTGTGAATTGGTATAAAAATACACTTTATTGTGTTATAGTGGTATGTGTCTGATCTCGTTAGCTGATATTTGACAAACTTTACATTTGGTATGGAAGTAATAATACAAATAAAATATATATATAAAGGAGATTAATTCTTTTTATTTGTAATGTAATTTAAACTATTATTTAATAATAAAAGTGGATTGATATTTTAAGTCCATGTGTAATATACTGTATATAATTTATAATATATATATGTATATATTGTACTGAGATGGCATACATTTTGTATTCCACTCCAAATCCCTGTATTACTCAGTTGCTGTTGCTGTGGGTATGTGACATATTCTGTATGTAAATTGAGTAACAAGTTACAAAGTTTAAGTTAGAAGAGTCTTCTTCAAATACATTAAAAGTTTTTGACTGATTAGTGCTGGAGGATTTACGTCTCTTTAAGCAGCCTGAGGATGGAGAACTACATGGAGCAGAGTCCACTTACGGAGCTTCTAGTCATTAAAAATCTCCTGAGCCAGGTGAATTCAGTTGATATCCTCATATGCTGTCTCTTTGACATCCCTCTGTGAAAGTTTCTCAGGTGATCTCTTCCCTTAAGTTAAAAAAAAAGAAGAGCCATAACTGTACTGCGGAGACCCATAGGGTTGTGAGACATTGATGCTTCCACATTTTCTAGACAGTCGGCTCACATATGGTGGTAAGGTTGTCAGCCTTACACGCCGGCTGCCCTTTACCCCGCAGGAAGATTCCTGGTACTCATTTCTCTTAGAGGCTGAGTCACCCCCAGGACCATAGTGTGGCTGGAAGGATTAGGTCGATTGAAAAATCTAGTGACTGCATCAGGAATTGAACCAAAAATCTTCCAGCTTGTAGCATAGTGCCTCAACCAACTACACTTATCGTATGGCTCCGTTCCATTAAGTATTTCTTCTATTTTTTGCAAAGAAAACATTCTGTGAGGTCTTAACCCTGTGCCAGAAGCAACCAAGAGTCAGTATGAAAATTAATAACAACCCTGTTATGCAAACACAGGATGCTAAATATTTAAGAATGTACTTGTACAGAAGATTGACATGCAAAAACCATGTAGAGAAGACAGCTGGGGGGGGGGAACTAAATATTCTGAAAACTTTGTGATTCTGAAAAGGCTTTCAAGAAGCAAAGGGATAGTCCAAGATCTGTATTTAATGCTACATATCAATCAGTATTGAAATTAGCGTTTAGAAATAGTTGAGGCACTGTATCCTAATTTATACAGATGGTTCTGTCACAGACAGGAACAGAAATTTACTGCAAACTGTATAGTTTTTATGTCTGCTGGACAGCATTCCACTCACTTTGATGGTGAGACAGGCAATGAACACTACATTAATATAACTGTATGGTAGAACTGGGCCCTTTGAGAAGGCTGTTATATTCAGTGATTTAGTTTCAGCAATACAAACAGTAGTAAAATTGCACGTCCAAGGGCGATGTTAACAGAGAGCCATTCATCCAAAATAGTCTTGAAAGGTCATCAAAAAGATATAAAATTCTCATGTGGGTAATGAAACAGCAGAGCACTTAGCAATGAAGGGAACAAAAATCAATCAAACCTTTGGATGTAAACTGATATTTCGCTCTGACAAATTAAGAATAAAAAAATAAGCATTCAAGCTGACTTATCAAAGTATTATGCCATTCGAAGCCAGCATAAATCCTGGGATAATATAGTCACACAAATAGAATTCCTGATTTTCCAAGAGGATTTTAGTGAATTTTCACTGAATATTTGGCCATGATTGTTTAGTGGCTCGTTTTCAGATTATCAATTTATCCATCCCCAATGTGTTTATACAGTGAGGAAAACTCCATAATGAATAAAGACTATCTTAAAAAGGTACTGTTCTAATACTAATAATAATAATGTGATAATATTGTGGAGGAAAACTCCATTATGAATAAAGACTATCTTAAAAAATGTACTGTTTTAAATACCAAGATTAATATTGTGATAATTTTTTTTTAATTCGCTTGGTGGGGGGGTGGAGTTCAACTGGGTCCACTTGTCACAGTGGCCACTGATTGGCCTATCGTAGCCTGCCCCGGGTGATTATGATGATGAAGAATTTGGTGGAATGAAGATTGGCAGGGGAAATCCCAGCGCCACTTTGTCCACCATAAATCCAACTTGACCGAACCCGGGCCGCCGCATTTGTGCATTTGGGGAAATTTTATACTGCAGAAACGTAGACTCTGGTCATGAATCCCATGAGGATGCTAGACACAAATTCTGTACAGTTCTATTGAACCATAGATGTTTGGGGCTTACGGTTATTTTATTTAAGCAATTTTCTTCGCAAGACTCCGGAAACTCGTTACGAAATTCAATTTGGAAGATCTTGACGTTATTGGTAAACATTACTTTTCCCCGCGAACACTATACGGAGAGGGTACCTAAACCGAAATAAGAACCGACTTAAGACCAATCTATAAGTCATATTAAAAAGAGGAAATAAAACCCGCTTCCCATTTTCTGGCAGTTACCGCAGTTACCGTCACGGAACAATGACAGTGTTCAGTTGGCCAGCTTGTTTTATATGTCTACAATATGATATATCGATTGTAATTGAAATAGGAAAATTGCCGTTGGGTTTGAGGTCTTCACAGCAATGTTTATGAAGAGTTCTACCTTGCGGAACTGTGGAACTTGTGGAACATAGTTATAGGGGTCACAGGGCTACACAGCCATACCCCAGAACTCTTCATGACATCTTTTTACGTTCATGCCTCGATGCTATAGGTATCGATTCTACATAGTGAGAACTCTTGCAGATTGTTGGTTATATGCACAGGCAACCAATTGCATGTTTTTAAAATATTGTGCTTAAATAACAATGCACAATGCATTTCTGAATTAAACTGAGCAGTAGTTTTCTGTCTATTTGCCTTGATGTACTTAATGCATTCGAATCTTTTCCATGGGCCTGATCGGTCCGGATAATGCAACAGTACCAATAGGGCACGTTCACACACAGCAACATCGGTCGTACGATTCTTTTGCCGTACGATCTCCTTTTCACACTAGAGCGACTTTTATCCGTACCGAATCGCAGTTTTGATGAAGGAACATTGAATGATGGACCGAAAGCGCGTACTTGCTATGTGGTATTTTCACCGACGCCGAAAAAAGAGGCACAAGGAGCGCTGCTATCAACACCACCGAGTCCAATCACCGTACATCCAGTCCCCGCACCTGAGCACCTCTTCCGCGTCTGAACTGTGGACAGAAACTTCTTTGGGTGAGGTGGACAAACAATGTAGGAATTTTAAGTGTTTTCAGTGGGTTGGGAGCTGGCGTGGTATTGTTTGTTATAGGTATGAGTGTTTTGTTGGTTAGGTTTTCAGATAATACTAGGTTGTTGATCCGTGATTTTAGGTCAGTCAGGTGTAATCACTTCATTGACGAAAGTTTGTCTGATTTTAATGGTATTAGCTTCAAACCTGAATCAGAATTTTGTAGAGAAATGGCAAGCTAATGTACAGTGTGTGTGCTGCAGTGTTAATAGTAGCTGCGTTAATTACATTTGGAATTGTAATCCTAAGTGTGGAATAATTATAAAGAATTTCTGCCGTAATTGGAATTAGGTGTACATGTGACTTGTTTCTTTTCTGTTATGACTTATTACGTTTATTTGTACACTGCCTTATTGCACATATGCGGATAATCTGACTAGGAGCCGGGATAGCTCACTTAGTATAACGATTAAGGAGTGTATGGCAGTTGAATTGGGCTTCGATTCCAAGAAGCGACAGTTGATTAAACCCTTCTTCACAGCGTTAGGATTGACACCGGAGGGGACCTAGCCCCCTGTCAAATATATGAAGAGGGTTAAGTGGCGAGATCGTGAATCTGACCACTGGCTTTGGTGTGATGCCATTCCAAGGTTAAGAATTCTGTACCTCCATTCCCCATTACGTTTTTATGACGTTCTTAATTATGCACAAGGACACCTCTTTCATTATTGTGTTGAGAAATAGCAAGCCAATGTTATATGTGTGTGTGTGTATGTTGTTTATAGTGTGTCATTTTACAACCCTTTCACATAGTTCATGTAATGAATATGTAAGTTTACTGGGGAAGCTGTGAATGTCTGTGTACTCCTTTAATCATTGTTACTGTGTTATTATTTCATTGACGTTGGTCTGAAAAGTAAGGGGTCTACATTGAAATGTGATAGGCATAGTTAATTTATTGTTTACCCACATCTAGTGCCTGGGTTAATGGTGGAGCTGTACCTCCGTCCTCCATATCTTTTCTTGGTGTGTTGCTTAGTTAAGTACAGGGATAACTTTGCCTTTCTGTGGGAGTTCGTATAGCAACTGACTAATGAGTTGGATGGCTGAGGGGTTGGAGTTTCGAGTCATGGTAGGGACAAGATTTTCCTCTTCATGTTGTGCAAACCGGTTATGGGACCCACCAAGCCTCTTATCCAGTGGGTACCAGGGGCTCTTTTTCCAGAAGTAAAGCGTCTGGGGCTTGAAGCTGACCGCCATATTCAGCTGGTATCAATGTCAAGAATACATGTATCCATACACCCACTACTCCATATGCCTTCACGGTATAGTGCTTAACTGATTAAGTACAGGGACAACTTTACCTTTTAGTGACCCATTATTTACTTGAAGTTCAAATGAAAGTTCATCTGCTTCTCCATAGTATGAAAGACTTGTGGATGGTATAATATCTACAATGCATGAAGATCGTTGCTTTGTATTTTGAATGTCGTTTGATGTGGTGTATATTTACTGTATTTTCTTATTCTTCTTCATTGTGTTACCATGTTGTCCTAAGAATTATACTGAGGTTACAGGGTACTTATGTGCCCTTACAGACATTGGAACATTGGAACAAGACACTTAAATAGCAGATAATACAGGTTGCATAGGAATCCTGTTTTTGGCTGTAATTTATTTTTCTTGCAGGTGCAATTTAGTATGCAAGAAACACATAATTGGGTGGGAGTAATGAATTGAAGATATGGCAGGGCCAAACCAACTTTCACCAGACATGAAATAGGTCATGATCATCAGAGAAGCAATTTTTTTTTCTCCCCCGCTAATTACAAGAATAGTTGTATAAACTTGATCAGTAGATTCCAGAGAGATTCAGTGATTTGACTGTAGTAAAATGTGAAATTCTTAATGTTAAAAATTAAATCTGAATTAATCTGTTGGGATACTGACACATGCACACCATTGAGGCTTTATAACTCTTAAAATATCCTTTAAAAAGAAAAATGTTGAGAGAGGGATACAAATTTTAAATAAGTTCCAGGCAGAATTAATAGAGCATACATTACTCAGGATTACTGGGATTTTGGACTTTGTCCAGTGTCTTTTGTTCTAAAGAATGCAATGTTTTGGAACTGGTCTGTTTCCATCTCAAGTGAGGGGGTGAGAGACATCTACCCTGTTGGGTTCATTTGAAGGCTGGGCTTAGTCAAATGATTGAGATAAGCTCTTTCTAACAGTACCAATAGAGCAGGTGTGTCCTACCCCTTCACCCAAGGATGTAAACAGATCCAGTTTCTGAAGCATTGTGTTCATAGTGTGCTTTAGAATACCAGTGAAAGGAATGAGTCAAAACCCAGTAATCTTGAGTGTTGTACACCATCTATTTATTATTTATTTACTTCATATCCATGGATCATCATACATGATATAGGACAAGTCAAATACTTTACAATAATAAATAATAATAATATACGAAGATAATACAATGATTCTAATAATAGAACTGATATAATCATTTAACACACAATGCCGCTGTATGCCTCAAGACCCGATCCTTCTATCCCAGCAGAAAATACCCTGGTATCCTTGATCTTGTTCCTGTAAGAAAAAAATACAGAACAAGGCAGTAGGCTTTCCTATAACATGTACTAATATTAAAATCTACAAGTTAATTATTCTTGAAATATATGTTTACAAGTGATTAGAACCAGGATTTGTCCCCAAACAAGAGAAACTCGTCTATGCTATAGAAACAGTGATCAAGTAGGAATGTTTTCAAAGTCTTTGTAAACTTTTATAGTACTGGTATCTCTTTAATATACTGTGGCGGTTGATTTAACATACAAAGTCCATTATTATTGAAATTGTTTTTGTATACACTCATATTACATGGCACTATGAACAAGTCCTCTTTTCTCCTTGTATTGTGCGAGTGTATTCCTGAATTGGTTAAGAGCGGAGAGAAAGTTTTTTATTTCCTGCATCAGTACCCAGCCCTTCCATTGCAGATGCAAGAAAATATTTTCCTTTCTATGGTTGCAACCAAACACATCGTTAACTGAGATAAAGAGTGCATTCGGTTTTCTGCGAGTTCGTAATGAATTCAAATATCATAATTTCGTTTCATTATACAGTGACGATGAAATCTTGTTTGGAAGTGGTGAAATTGAAAGGCAGCTGAAGTGCAAGAAATATGGCTTTGGACTGAATTCTCCGGTGCTACGAGGAGTACCGTTCAAAGGCGCGGTTCAGTTATATGATTGGATAGGGGCTTATATATACATGAAAAAGCCAATAAAAATGTACATACATTGAATTTTACTATATTTAAAAATAATTGTTTAGAATTGTGCATGCACTTCTACTAGCAAGATTTAAATGCCCTAATGCACAAATATATGTACTTTGGTCATGATGGCTGTACTTTTCAGTGTACCGATATGTGCGCTTTGGACATTAGAGGTTAAAGAGTTCAGTGTAGCATGCCCACTGTGTGAATAAATTGTAAAGTTACCCCTGTGCTTAATTAAGTAACGTAGAATGGAAGATACAGCCTCTGTGGTCTAGTAGTCAGAGTTCCTGGCTACAGATCCAGAGGTCCAAGTTTGATTCCTGTCACTACCAGATTTTCTGTGTAGTGGGTCTAGAACGGGGTCCACTCAGCCTCGGGAGGATAATTGAGGCGCTATTTTAAAGAAATAGGGGCTCCGGTCTAGAAAACCGAAATTAACGGCCGTAGGGATCCGTTGCGCTGAACATGTCACCCTCTATCCCCTAAGATTGGCACTAACTTCGCCAACAAGCAGCGTTTGCTCGGTCGGTATAGTTCTCTTGCGGACTAAAACCAGAGAGTTTGCTTGTTTTATAGAATGAAAGGAATGTAGGAGAAGGGGGAAGTTAACTGTATGAAAGTTCATATGGCAAGTGATAATAATTTGCATTATCTTCTCATTGGATGTTCTGCTAGTACTTCATTAAATCAGGAGAATGACTGGATTTTAAAAAGCTGGTTACGCTTGGTACAGTTTCCTTAACCTATGTAGAGTGGATGTTTGTTCTAGTAGCACCACTAAAAGAACAGCTGTCCAGTCTGGATTCTGCAGTTCACAGAATGGATAACGAGAACCCTCTTGTGCAACCTGAAACTATTGTTCTTCCAACTATCAAAGAAGAATATGTGGTAGGTATAGGTGATGTTGTGTCTTTTGATACCATCCTGCATGTTTCTCCTCTGAAATTACTGGACTATATTTTGATGAAATTTGGGTTCTGTACTTATATCAGTTCTATACATTCTGTACTTTATATGGTGGTGTACACATGAATTGTATACCTTTTTACTGTAACAGCACTCTGAACTTAATGACAGGGATGGAAACAAAATAAGTTTGAGTATGTTTAAGGTCAGGTTTTTGTAATCTACATTTTGCAGATGTTCAGTGAGGACACTATATGTGACCCGGTGTTTATATCTGTATTTGATTCCAGTTCACAAGTGAACGGTAACCATAGTTACTGCAGTTATTATACGAACAAGTGCCAGCAAAGCAGTAGCCAATGACAGCACATACACAGCATCCTTGATGCAACCCCTCCCCCATCAAAAAATTCAGTATGAGTAAGGTCAGGCTAACAAGGTGGCTTATATCTGCCAGTCCATTTCTGTGCAAACTTTTGACTGAAGTCCATCACTTTGTGACAGTCCAAACCTTTTAAAACTCTTCAGTGGACGCTATGTTCCTCTTTAGCCATTTCAATAGAGTGACTGATTTATTGGGGAGACGGATCCATTAGCAAGTTCTGATTTGCTTTTTGCATCTGAACAAAAATAACTGCCTTGTTTTGTTACCTGCAGCTTGGGTGACCGCAAAAGGGACGCGGCCATCACGAAAGGCAAGTCTGTAGTTTGCCGAAGATGCAAATTTTGTTTCCCTTATAGGTAGCTATGATAAAAGTGTCTTCAGAAGGGTGTAATTGGACCCTAAACTAAGAAATAGCCGCTTTCACGTGTGGGGTTCCGGGTTCAATATCTTTGGATCTCTTTATTCTAAAAGTTCAGTATGTGATGGTCTAGTGCTGATGGTATGATGAATTGGGAGTTAAAATCAGCCATTGGGAAACTATTCTTGTCTGGGAGAAAGGCCGTCGGGTCAAATCCTATAGAGGGGATGAAGCGACGCTCCCACGGCATAGAGTTGGCAGAAGGACTTGGTGTTTTGAATCCATCAGAGGCAGACATCATTGCGCTGCACTCTCCAAGTTTATCTAAATTATCAGTCTTTATTTGGTTCGAGTAATCTTTGATAATAATAAAAAAGGGCACGTTACTCCATACTTGCCAATAAAGTTATTGAAATAAAGAATTTGTGGAGAGCAGAAATAGTGTCTTTGATTTTTAGCAGTGGACTGGTTTTAAATGTGCAGTTTTCCCGTTGCCTCAGTTATTACCATGACATGATCCTGCGAAGAGTCAAGTGGTCTATTGAAGCCGGCAAATAAATACAATAATAAAAAGGGGACGGTTACAACTTGCTTGTGGAAATGTGGAGATCCTCTGTCTGGCTGAAACAGGGTCTTATCAAGATCATTGCTTTGCTGCTACCTGCTCCATGCTGTTATGTTGCCAGGTTTATTCTTCGACCCTGAAGACTGAGGTCACATGTTACTTGGAAAGGTTTCGTAGATAGATTCTTCAGGACCCTTCTCTTCCACATAGGCATGAGGAATTGATATGACATTGTACACTGGGCATAACTCAGTAACCGCCTGAAGTTTAGCAGACATTTTGTGGGTCACCTTATGTAAGATACTTCACACAAAAATGGTTCTCCTTTCACATCTTGGCCAGGACACTGGCCTTCCTGACTGAAGTATTTCATGGTTTTCCTCAGTCCTCAGCAGATGCTGGGATAATACTTGATTAGGCCATGGCCGTTTTCTTTGAAGTCATGTTTCATTGGTCACCCTACCATCTGATGCTATGTAGTCTCGGTAGTGAAGGTGGTGCATCATTTAAAATGATTAACAGCACAGGATAAAGGAAGTTTTAAATATCAGCAGACTGACATCCTGCTGAGGGAAATAGGCTGCATTCGGAATTATGTTGAAATCCATTTTGTTAAAAGGTGAAATATACCAGTTTTTGCATCTGTTACTGAGCCCTTCTTGAGGAGCTGCCAATTCTGCAGCTGCTCAAGAATTACCCATCATTTATGGAACCCAAGAGTTCATAACCATGTTCACGAGAGCCTCTACTGGTCCATACCTTGAGCCAGATCAATCTAATCCATGCCATCCTATCTCTCTAAGATCCATTTTAATAATGTCAACCCACCTATGTGTTGGTCTTCCCAGTTGTCTCTTTCCTTCTGGCTTTCCAACCAATATCCTATATGCAGTCCTCTTCATTTGTGCTACATGTCCTGCTCATCTCATCCTCCCTGACTTGATCATTCTAATTATACTTGGAGAAGAGTACAAGTTGTGAAGTTCCTCGTTATGCAGTTTTCTCCAACCTCCTGTCACTTCATCTCTCCTCGGTCCAAATATTCACCTCAGAGACCAAGTTTCACACCCACACAGAATCACAGGCAAAATTATAATTTTGTGTATTAACATTTTTACGTTTTAGATAGCAGAGGACAAAGTAAAAGTTTCTGGTCTGAACAGTAGCAAGCATTACCCAGGTTCAATTTCGTCCTGAATCAGGTTTCGATTTGTTATCATCGTTCCCAAATATCTGAACTGTGCAACATTTTCAAAACATCTGTTTCCTATTTTTATGTCATGATTTTTCCCCGCATTTTGGTGATGAGACAGCAACATATACTTAGTTTTCTCTGTGTTTACTCCTAGACCAACCTCCTTACTTGAGTTAGTTAAAGTTAAAGTTTGCATCTGTTAGCCTTGTTATATGTTATTGCCAAGTGTTTATTTTTAAACAAAGGAAAATGTGAAACAAGAAGAGGTGGAAGATGAAACATACATTGAACAGGAGCCAGAAGTAATGGTGAAGGTGGAAGTAGAGGATGATGTGACAGTTAAAGAGCAACCACAACCTCTGACCCAGGAATATCTGCTGGAACACACAGGGTAATGATTGTTCTTCTGCTTCTTTCAGTTTATAACACTGCACAATCAGGGGGTACAAATGTTACACAGGAAATAGTCTTTTATGTACAGTGTCATCGTCCTTGAGCCTTCCACAAACCATCAAGCAACTCTGACAGAAGAGTGCTTTATTACACGTGCCCAACTGGACTGTAGTGGCTGATCACTAACAGAAATGACAAGCCCATAGCCCACCATATGAATAAAATCCACATAGACCATCAGCAGACTGGAAATGCCACGTGTTATGTTTTCAGAAGAATGTTAAAAGTGCAGCGCCGATTTCATCATTTGACAAAAAGAATACCTGAGTCAAAAAAACATTAAATGCTGAATGAAGAGAAATTGGATGAAATCAATGCTGGGCTTCAACTTTTTCATTGATAAACCCCAACAACTTGCACAGGAGAATGAAATGTCAACTTTACTTTGTTTTTGAAAAAGAGCTTTAATGTGTGAGTTAAAACTTTTCTTGGAGGTCCCAGGAATATTTGCATGACAGAAGAGGGCATTTCCAGCATCTTCCATAACCTAGGTAAGTTTGTTTATAATTTGATGGGTTACAGGCTTGCCAACTCTGCTAGTGGTCCTAGTTTTCTCAGTCAAGCTAGGTAAGAGGAGCGTTGGACTCTGCCATCTGAGCGGATTAACAATTTTTGGAATGCTCAAAAGATTATCTTAATGTATATGCAGACAAATATGAATACATAGGACTCCTTTGGAATTTTCTGGGTTCAAGTGTTATCCTGCAGACTATCATGACAGGCATTTCATATGTTTTTTCAGTCCCTCTAGGTAAATTTTAAAACATGTCATGACTGCATTGGTCCATATCCATGCCAGTTCAGCATTCATAATCGTCATAACATTTGATGCTATATAACAGGTACAGTGGATGAAGCGGTGCTCGCTTGATTAAGAATTGGTCACTATAAATGGTAGCCTTCTAGTAGGCTACTCTGGAATGATACTGTCAAATTTAAGTGGCATTCACAATGAAAGATTAGATTGTGTTTGAAGAAAAGTACTATGAAAAATATTTGGGTGTAAGAAAGAGGACAAAAAAAAATTATATAATGAGGAACTTGATGTATTGTACGTCTTGCCTGTTGTTTGGGTGATTAAATCAGAATTTGAGAGGAAAATATGAAACTGATATAAAATTTTGGTTGGAAGACCTGACTGGAAATGACCATTTATGAGACCCAGACTTAGATGAAAGAATAATATTAAAATGAATCATTGAGAAATAGGTTGTATAGATGTGGACTGGATTTAACTGGCCTGTAACAGGATCCAGTCTAGAATGTTTGTGAACCTGATGAAAATTCATGTTCCATAACATAATTAAATCAGGTGATTAATTTTCAAGGCAGACACTGTGCCGCAGAATTAGTTTATTGGTCATTCATTGAATCAGTTAATGTACCCCTATTTTGCAAGTGCTCAGTGTTTCACTTCTGTGTGCGAAATGTGTATGCTCTGTGTTCAACATTAAGAATGAAATGTTTGTTACTGCTTCAGGAAGGTAAAATGTGATTTTGTAGTTAGGTTTGTAATAGAAGATTTACTATATTTAATGGCAATCCTCTTGTGTGAAGAACTTAATTTGGTGTGAAGTCAAAAGTTTAGAATGATTTTAAGAAATAGAAAAATTTATTTTACATGAAGTGTGCACCGTGTCTATTGGAACAGGGTCATCCAACTTCAAATTATTGAGGGATCACATTGTACTACTACCTTATGAGCCATGTTATGAAATATGTAGTTTTTTTTTTCTTTCCAGTAATCCAGTACAAATATCGACCCTGTAAGGTTCAAAACATTTATTTAAATTTAATATATGTGTAATACTACTAAAAATTAGAGAAATTCATCAAATTTGGCTTGCACAGAATAGAGGAAGTACCCACCTGAATTCTTTTCAGTGTGCATTTTGGACAGATGCTCTCTTTTACAAGGGTGGGTACATGTAAATTTGTTATGATAGAGATAAGTGGGAAAGAGGTTCATCTGTAGTCAACATCATATCAAGTCCTTACAAATTTTATGGTTTGTCAGTAAGATTGAAGAAAGCGTTGGTACTTACTTGGGGACTGTACTCACAGACCACACAGAACCAGCTGGCAGGTTGCATGATGCCTGTTCACAACAGATTGGATGGCCCTGTATTAGGGTACTTTTTGGAGTTTTGCTCAGAGGCTATCACCATTAACTGATTTCCACGTTATGCAACATATATGAAAAATATTTTAATTTTCAAAATGTCCGTTTTCTTACAGTGACAATGGAGAATCTACTCAGATAGCCACAGTTGAATTTTTTCAAACGAACAACGTGACTGGTAATGTTCACACCGTCCCAATATATCATTGTAAAATATGCAGAATTGGGTTTACTGAGTCAAAACTGTTCAACAAACATTGCCGCAGTGAACATGGGCAGACTAAGGTTATACACAGATTTAACTGTGCATTTTGTGGCAAGAATTTTATTGATGAGCAGAAACTTCGTAAACACCTGCGTGCGCATACAGGAGAGAAACCATTCACCTGTGAAATTTGTCAGAAACATTTTGCTCAGAATGAAAACCTTCAGGTGAGCAAAAGAATAAACCTAATTCTATACATTTTATGATAATTTGTAGGCATGTGAAAGTATTGATTTTTTTTTTAGATTGAGTGAAGCAAGAAAATACCTCAATTTGATTTTTCAGCACTGAATTTTTCTGATAACTGCTTTTGCTTTACCCAGTAGCATACAAGCTACCTCACTATAAAAATTCTAAGGGTTGGCAGTGTTAGCACCAGTCATCTTGTCTATAAGAACTATTTTCTGTGCCCTTGGTGAAAAAGGACATAGCCTTAGAATTATTTTTTTAATATGTGTAATGTCCTAGCGGCGTAGGGGGGACATGGAGGTATCCCTCCCGCTGCTGCTGCCGCCGCTGTAATGCCGTGGTACAGGGGGGGCGTGGAGTCAGCCCGCCTCTGTCCCCACTGTAACTCCGCATGTAGGGGCCGTGGAGGTATCCTTCCTCACCTCCACTAGTTATGTCGTAAACTGGTACTCCTGGTAACGTCGCGCCGTCGGGGGTGTGCAGGTACCCCTCCTTGCCTCCACTGGTTATGCTGTAAGGCGTTAACGCAACCATCCTAGCTTACCCTTAGCTAGGATTCTCCTATATCGGAGTTTCCTTCTGTCATACAAGCTGCCACCATCTATTTTCTGTTCTTTCAATTGTTGGTACTACTCCCTGGCATATAGTCTTAGCTCCTTCTTGACCACTCCGCATATGGTTTACAGGTAGCCAC